TTAAAATAACTACCTAAAAATAGTTTGAAAAGTCAAAAACTTTAAAACCTCAAATTTACAGACAACACAGCCTTTGCTATAATGCTCAATTTGGATATGATCAACACACAAATCTGTAGACATTTGGCACATGGCAGATGATTTGCAGTGGTAGAGAAAAAAAGTGCAATATCTTAAAAGTGTACTCATTTCTTTATCCCAGTTACTCTTATCTGAGACTCAAGCTGATGTTACCATGTAAGTGAAAACAGCACTAGAAACCATAAATGTAAAGCTGTTTACTGTTGGCTTCACATTGCATTATTCATTCATTCATTATTATTCATTCACTGCATTCACACACTCAGGGTTGGGAATGGAAAGCCACCTATCTACAGTTAAATGTTACTTGGGAAAAAATAAAATATTTTTCTTAGGTCCCAAATAACGTGGGTTAAAGACTGTAGACATTGGCATGAGCAGCCAGCTTAGCATGACAATTCATCAACACTGGTTCTTTTTCCAATTCCAGGCACATTTTCCATTTGTTTCTATCTGAGTTGTTTGGGCTTCAGAGCAGGTTTTTTCTTCCCTTGGAGAGAAGCAGCACTCCCTTTTGTTTGCATGAGCCTTTGAACCCTGAGAGAGGAGCGCTCACCTGCACAGACGAGACCCAGCAGCACAGCTAATTTCGACACAGCCCACGAGAGATTTCTTCTACATTTCTATTGTTGTTCAAACACTTTAATATAATTAAGCATGTGCTCAAAGATAGAATGTGACTAACTGTACGTTTTGTTTTGTGCATACTAAAAATGGAAGATCTCTGATAACCAGGTCAGAGTAATGGCAAGAACCTGACAAGAGCTCATAAACAAGATAATAATAATAAAAGTGTTAGTGTTATTCAACTCACAACATTAATGCAATTAAATAATAGAATGAAACTAGCATTGTTATCTTTGTTGAATATATTTGAGATAGTATTGTTCCGATCCTTAACACATTTCAGCTTAGCAGTGTCAGGAATTACATTTCAACGTAAACAACACTTCAGTCAATCAGATGTCAGGTTGAAGTCAAGGTCAGAAATGTGACAGATGTGAATGGAAGATTGCTCACTCCTCCAACATTTATCTCAACGAACCTTTTCTGAATGACCTGGTCACTGTGGTAGCGGAGCCCCTAAATGCCAACAATAACAGTGCTGCATCTGAAAATATTTTTGAATTCAAGATGGATTTGGAGCTGGAGGAGCAAAGAAGGAGGCAGCCCCAAACAGGGTTAAGGTGAATCAGTGAGCTTTACTGGATAATAACAGCTTTCTTCTGTCTATGGAAAACACAATGGGCAAAAGAAATGGAATCCAGGAGAGGGCTTGGAGTTCAGGCCCTTGGGTCAAGTGGGATTAGACCTAACAATATTTAGTTTGAAAGAACACACAAGCCCCCAGCTAAATAACTTGTGGTCCACCTGCATTTGTCAATTAGGTTGACCTATAATTTACAGATACAGACTGAAATGTTCATGAAATCCGGTGGAAAATCTTATAGTCAAAGGAAGTTAATCTGACCTGTCCAGGTTATGCAAAGGCAATGTAAACATACACAGTAATGATCAAAACAAAGCAAGATTGTGCGTGTCAGAGCGTTTCTCCCACTGAAGCCTTTAAGCCTTCACTGCATGCTCCATGGTATGTGAATATATGCGTGATCGGCCTTTTGGAGGCTCTAGGGTGAATATGTCCTCACTCGGAGAGAGTCAAAAATCCATCTTGACTAGTAATGGACTGTAGTGTTTATGGGCCCAGCACATGGGGCTTAGAAGCCTAAAGTGGGTTAGTCTGCATCCAAGTTGTGCTTGTTTTTGGCATTAATTCAGCGCTATTTGTCAGAATGTGAGTGACAGAAAAGCAGGTCTGTTCCAAAGCAGGGGGTGCACCACATGATGAAACTGTCAAGGTTGATTCAAAAACATTTTTATGTGAAGCTCAGAAGCATATTGTAAGTGGAAAGCAATATACTTCAGAGTTTATTTAGTCACCCTTCCTTATAAATATTAGCCTTATAAACTGATTTGAGATCAATGAGATTTTGTCAGTAGTGGTCTGATTGGAGGGGACTTTTGACTTTCTCCTTGCACTATGTTGTTGGTCCACTGGAGCTGCACAAAGAAACAAAGCTGTGGTGTGTGATTATTAGCATGTTTTCATGTGTAATCCTTTGGCTTGTGTTTGCTTTCTTTGGCATATTGTACCAAGAGTATTAGTTCCACAGAAAAACAGGAACCAATCGATGGTATTTGAATTCTCATTGTGTCAGCAGAGATTTAGTTTCTTCAGGATCAATTATTCAAACCATAGGATTTTTAAGAAAGTTGGAAGATTATTTCTTCTGAATTGGATTTAATAAACAAAGATAATCCCCAGATTGAATCAAGGCACAGTTCCCACACTTGGCCATTCTCTCCTCTGAGAACATCTACTCGGCCTCCTGTCATATGCTATGCTAATAGGTCACAAAATGTAGAGTGAATCATATGGTAACACACGTGTGGGGATGTCTTAGTAAACAAGCTATGATGCCATTCCAGGGGATTTGGAAAACGGCAAAATCAATGAGGTATTTTTGCCGTTTTCTTTTTGTTTGTGTCCAAGACTGAGTCTTAGCTGAAGATGCTGTAAACAAATGTAAACAAATCTATGGCAAAGAAATAAAGGATCTTGTCATCTGGCACTGGATGTATTCATCTACATGTACAAAGATGGTTCCAATTCCATGCAGTAGAAGGTGTAAAAGACTTCCAACACTCACACAGTAGAACATAGCACAGCCAAGTGACCTTAAGTTTAATAAAAGCCGGTTGTTACATTGTCCTTATTCCAAGCATATACTGTATATCAGATTCTATATCGACTGAGGCATTCCTTTTTCTCATAAGAACCTTTACTAAACATTTTTCTTTAGGGACCAGAGGAAGGGGATGAGACTGCAAACAATAGTGCAAAAAAAAACACACAACCTCTAACCCATGCATTAAAAAAAAAAAAGTATTACTCATGTGTGCTGTTCATAAATTTAATTTACATATTCAGAGTAAAAGCAAATACATGTGGACAGACTATAAAAGAGAGGATGTATTTTTCTTCTGGTGCCCGATGCTGGATGGTCTGTAACCTGGCTTTGGGCCCTGGCACATTGATTGGGGACCCCTGCACTCAGCGACACAGCCATACAATCACAAGTTTTGCACTAAAGAAGGTAAAGGTCAATAATGATACAGATTTGTCCATGTTGATACTCAATACAAAAACAAATGAGTCAAAATGGAAATAGAACAGTGTTATATCAGCCCATCTCTAGAATTTATCATTGTCTTTGGAGAGCTAGTATCAAGCATCTACAGAGGTACCATTTAAACTTTTAGCAGCAAAATTTAAATATATTGTAACTTATAATATTGCTCTTATGTAAAATACACTCCTCCTTCCTCCTTGTTATAAATCAACACATAAAACATTGCATGCCTGTCATGTCCGTCCCTGGATCTCTCACTAAGGAGCCTGTTCACAGAGGATGTTGACCCATTTAGCACATCTCAGAGACCAACCGTGCGCAATGCACACTCTTTCTCTTCCTACACAAACTACTTTTTATTTACCCTACAAAAGATCAATGCTTAAACCTGATTGAACCTGATCTACCACACTGTCAATACTGTAAATAATCAAAGTTAAGTTCAGAAGACACAGGAAACAGCCTTTAGTCAACAGTATGCCATAACATTTATCCAAGCGCCTACAAGGCATTCAGAATGTCAGTATACCTGCAAACAGAATGTCATTTGTGGGACATCCTTGAAGGCACCACAGCGGTGGTCAATTGGAAAAGAAGCAATCTTTCCACTTCTCACACAACACTGGCCATTGAGGAACGTAATCTCCACACTTTGAATAACAGAAGAGAAGGACTCTAACTACAACCAAGTCAATGCAGGGTTTAAGGAGTGAGCCTGATAGGTAACAGTTTTTCACTTGATACAACAAGAATACATGCAAACCATGCTAAAATACAAAAGCAAAGAAAATAAGTATAATTTTCTGTGTTGAAATCTGCAGAGTTTCCATGTCCTCATTATGTTACTGTGGTTTCTTATCAGACAATTCTCACACAGTTCTCTCACACAAATTTTAGACTTGACAGTTAAGATTTGTCATATCTGTGTCATGAGTGCCAATTCAATAATGCCAGCAATTGGTGCCATCACTGAAGCTTTATATTGTTGTTTTGCTTTTATTAATTAGTCAAACATTGCATTGTCAAAGAAACAGATGAAGCAGAAAATGAATGGTCTATGACAGCTCTGTCGATTCCAGGCTGTTGACTTTTAGTGACAAATATTAATTAAATGAAGCAATCTCAGCAATTATTCTACTCCCCTGGAGGCAGTAAAACCACTGGTCCTCTGACATTTGTCACTCCTGTTCAATTATCTTTTTATGGAAAGATTTCATTTACTCATTATTTTTTGTTGTAATAAGGGCGTGTGTTGATTGTAGTATGGGACACATTTTGGACATGAGGAATTGTTGTACCAAATGGTACTTCACACATGCAATGCCACCACCCTTCTGCCGTGCTATATCAGCACCTGTTGAATCTTTGCCTTTTATTTATACACAACAAAAATACTAAATAGCAAATTAAGCATGTGTGACATAAATAATGATATTTACTCAACATGATCTGCTTCTTCACAGTAGACACTGAATTAGTATCTAAGTAGCAGTTATTACTGTTCCCAGTAATAACAAAACCCTATTTTCTATGGTTAGTACAAATGCAACTACAAGCTTTCAGGGGTCTGAAGAAGCACTCATGAGGTACCTCTTCCAATAGGAAGACCAAATGTGGCCCTTGTAAAGCAGTTATGACATTTAGCATTAATAAAGGTGAAAAGACTATTTTGGATGTCAGCTACGTGCCTGAAGAGTACAGTAGCGTTTACACTGGCCATGGTACCTGTTTGCTGATGGTCCGCAGAGGCATCACTGTCCTGGAGAACAGCTGACCTCCTATAAACCACATGGACTCTTCCCTGGTCCTCCAGCTCCTGAGCCCCTTTTTCCAACGGCTCTATGAAGTACTCATCAGAGTCTGTGCGGATCATGCCAGCCTGAAACACAAGAGCAGAGTGTCAAAAAGAGCTGAGGAAACTGCTGAATGATTTTAACTCAAAGCTTTATCATGATGACTGTGGTACGATCCAATATCAAGCTCTGCTGTTCTCTTTGCAGTGAATACTGCCGAGCCGGCCTTGTGCTTAGGTCACACTATATGCAGGGTAACATTGAGTCTGATCTCTGACAATTTCTCATCATCTCTTCATCATCCTGTTTCACCCACACTGCCAACAGGCCCCAGAAGCTGTGCCTATACAGTTTAACAGGAATTCATAAGATTCTCATGTTAATGAAGAGCACTATGTATACATAATGTGTTTAATATACAACATTAGGCTAATTAAATTCTTGGCATCATATGATTTCTGAACAGTACATATCAGTACACATACCTTTCTTATGTAACTGCATTCCATTTATTAGTCATTACTATACAAGCCAGATAGCCTTTTGTGCTTATTAAAACAACACATTTGATTTTAAAAATATAAATGGCAATAATACATTTCATTGTTGCTAGGGCAACATTTCCGGCAACATGGATAATGTTGCCACAAAACACCACATTTTGACCAAAATTCTTGCCCATTTTATGATTGGATTGCAATTACAAGCTTATTTCCCAACAAACCACAGGAGGTAATTGGCCATGGGTTCACAATGTTAACAATACATTGAAACTAAATTGCTTTCTGAAGGCTACCTGCAACTCACAGATTTTGTGCAATCAGTGGATAGTCATGTCTACTTTGTACCGGATAAAAGACCAGGTAACACAATAACTCACGAAATGTGGATCTCATCTCTGACAAATGATGGAGCAAAGGTGTATCAGGCACCACAATATTGGAGCATGTACTGAAACTAACACCTCTCTTTAACCCAAGGCCTTTTTATTATTGCTGTGCATCTTTTCTGCCTGGCCTCAAGCAGCACCAAACACCCTTGATATAAGAATGTAAACCGATATGTGTAATTATATGTGCATTTATCCATGTAATGCTGGATCCTCAACATGTGTCACACTATTTGAGGAAATGGTTAAAGCAACATTACTAATTTTATTTCTAATTATGTTTATTCATTGGAGAGGCTTTTGTGGCATTTAGGCGAGCACACAGAGCTGCTTCTTAGCTGATGCATGAAAGCACACTCGAAACAGGCTTTAACTTGAAATGTGCACATGGTGTTTTTGGCATAATGATAAAACAATCTGTGGGACAAAAATGAAATGAAGCATGGTATGAAATCCGTCTAAAAGCATGAACCTAAAGGCACAGTGAACAGGTGCTGTTTATGAAAGGACGTTAGATGAAAAGTTAATGATTAATTAATACTAGACACCATTTTTGTTTATAGAGGAAGAGCTTGCTTTACCAGCTCAGTGTGCAAATAACAATGCTACTTGGGATCCTAAATAAAAAACTTTGAATGTATTCAGAAATATACTACATAAATACATTCATAAAAATACCAGTTGACTTGTTTATAGATTATTTTATACACAAACAAGTGTACATGAATCCAAATGAAGCATCAGTGTGCTTGGACACAGAGACATGCCCTATGCTTTAATATATGTGCATGTGTGACATAGCCAGTGAGTGCATAGAGTGTAGATAATCAAAAGGTCATGTGAGTCATGTGGGAGTGTTACAGCAACAGAGCATTCAAAGGGATCTGCAGGTGACACCTGGTGCCAGCCTCACAGCCTGATATGCAGCACGTGAAGAATACAAGAGCAGTATTCTGATCATTGACAAGTGAATCCATGTAGGCCTGTCAACATAACAAATTCTGAAGTACAATATATTGTTAGACAATAATATTGAAACAAATGTATGCCACTGACACAAAGCAGGATAATCCCAGAAAACTTTTTAAATAGACAGTAGCATGAATTAAAACAAATGCATAACAGAGTGAACTGAAAATTAGTAGAAGTTATTTATTCTACCCTGTAAAGCTCAAATGTTACATAAAATTAACACCACCTTGACTAACAAATTTCCTGCGGGAAACAATATTGAGCCCTACAATATATTGTGTGCATAATTTCATATAATGAACAATAAAGCAATATAGTAATTATCATGACAGGTCTAGGACCAGTTTGCATTTTAAAGACACATTGTCTGGCACCAATCAAGAGGAGTGGTCTCACACTATTTTACAGCAGCATATGGGAGAAGTATTAGGCATCAAGCTCCTGTATTATAGGAGAGGGAAGAGTCAAGAATAAATATGTGATAAGACTCGGTCAGCCAATTATTATAATTGTCGGCAGTGCTCAGTATCAAAAGTGATTGAAGTAGCATGAGATAAAACCTGTACTGTGTAATATGTTGGCCAATACTCAGAGCAGATGTTCATTAGGTGCATAACCCATTAAAAAGTGACAATGTTATGCATGGTAGATGACTGTTACACTTGTGGCAATCTTGTCTGACTTTTAAAATGCTTAAAATGTTTGTCAAACTTGGATTTGCTCTTCAGCTTATTCCTTGCAAATGTATTTATCTAGCTCCTGCAGGCCCAGCTTAGACACTCACTGTAAACAGTATGCTTAGACACACAATGTCACGTTGTGTTGCCATGTCCAATGCCATCACCAACGCCTCCTCTGCACAACTATTTAGGAGCAAGGTCAATGGATTATCCAGCCGTGACTGAGTCTGTAGTCACATCCCAAATCACAGCATTGCACTTTTTAGTCTGTTCTTTGTAAGGTCCGATGTAGCTCTCACCTCATGATCACCACACAGAAATCACACAAGCCAAAAGTTAGCAGTTTACTTCCATGCATCAAAAAAGTAATCAAACAAAATTATTCCACTTTGAAATGATTTGAGCCAATTACTGAATTAGCATAATAGTCAAACTGATACTTGCATGTGTTTTGGTGGCAGCTCATAATTTTTTGCTGAAACATGTCAAAAACTATTTGTATTAATTATAGTTATTTGAAAGTCAATCCTTAATTCTAAGTGATTATAGGGTCACACAACAGATGGCATTTTAGGATTTAAACATAGACATGTCACTCTAGGTAAACATGACAAATATTTATGTCACTAATAACAAAAGCAATCATAAAGTGATATAGTAAATATAGAAAGTCCACCATTGGAAAGTCCAATTCATAACACAATTTTCACTTACTCTGTGAAATAACAAAATTCTTAAAGGTCCTGTATTGTGCAAAATTGACTCTTGCGAGCTGAAGCCATGTTAAAATGTTGTTACCCCCTCAAAAACATACGTGGAGTTGTGTTTCATTCACACATGTTTAGTAAGCCTTTATTATTAGTCTGTTTACATCTCCAAAGCTCAAAATGCTCTGTTCCACCTTGTGTGTAGTTTTCAAGTTCACAGCTACCGTGTACCTTTTGTTTAGTAGAAATTGGCAATTCCAGGGCTAAAATTATCCAAATGATTCTACTGAATGTACACACTTCCGGCATTACCATATGACATCACAAGTAGGGCTGTCGCAGTTAGGGACGACGGCGGCTCTTACCTCCGTGCGGCACCATCCTCTATGCTCCGCCTGTAGTCACCAGAAGGTCTACACGGGCGCAATTTAGTCCTCGGTTAGTCCTAGGTTAGTCCTGGGTTAGTCCTGGGTTAGTCCTGGGTTAGTCCTGGGTTAGTCCTGGGTTATCATGGGCACAGGCGGTAACGGGTGGAATGTTAATTGGTCTGGGTGGGTGCAGGTCTCTAAAAATGGACCTGTGCACGACTCTGGGTCAGGTCATGTTGGTCTCATGCAGTGATCGTGGTGGCCCAACATGCACTGCAGTGGGCCTCTTAGTACCGCGTTGATTAATTTTTGTTGTTATTCTTACAGCCCTAATCACAAGGCGGAACAGAGTGTAAGAAAAACAGAGTGGGCCCCATGCTTAACACTAGCGCTAGCGTTAAGGAGGAGGCATTTCCAGGTTGGGCTGTACTTTGTTGCTGGAGGCTCTAGTAGGACAGGACAAGTATATATATGGTGACGGCATCTGAAAAAATCTGTGACCGCTGTAGCATCTAAAATCACTGCCAGTCTGGCTAATGTCTGTAGTCTTTGCCTCATTACGAGGCAGCACATAGGGGTGTTAGAAAAGTTATATATGGGTACAATAAAACAACTCCAGCAGTATGGAATTTTGGCTGGGCCATGTCAGAACTGGCTGGGTTTGTGTTCTGTACACTCCACGCACATGTGAACCTCTCACACGCACGTGCGCCCCTGTCAGTCCTACTACACACATCAACCTTTTTAGTTTCCTCTGCATTCTTCCTTTTGTTTGCCTCCCATTAAGCAGCAGGCCAGTGTCTATCTCATGTGCTCCCCTTCCCACAGCAGACCAACTGACCGCTGCTCTCCCCCTGGTCGCACCCACTCTCGCCTACCCCATTGCCACTACTGCATCTCTCACCTGAGGTACGAATGTCCACCACTGCTACTGTTGACCGCTCACATTCTCGCCTCACGGGTGTCCACTACATTTCATCCCATACAGGCGGATGTCTTGCAGATTATGGAATAAGTTTATTGTTATATAAATGTTTCTGATTTTACTGCTCTGTCTGTCTGTCTGGCCGCTCCATGGCTCTATGTAGTTTTCTACAGTTCTGATGGTAGTCTACCTACTGGCGACTAACTTTATAAACAAACCACGGTGGCACAATGGGAATAATTTGGTCACAAAGTTAAATGGAGCTGATGACAGAAAGGACACGAGGATGTGAGGAAATCCGACATCACAGCATTAGAAGCGCAGACAGGGTAAGAAAACACACTTTAGGACATCGCTGTAAACAGCCTCATGTGAATGAGCAGCTTTTGTACAGATCCAGATCAAACCAAACTACAGAGCAGTGCTAGGCCGATACAAGAAGCATTTGAGGGACTGTGCTCTGCTGCGGAAGGGTATCCAGATGTTAAGCTTTTATCATCCAAATATATTTCTAAATAAAAGAAGTCTTGAGAATATTGTTTTTC